GTGATTGATTGGCACAAACTTCCTAGACAAACCATTACATTATGAAACATATTGTTATAAAACCAACAAAAATAAGTCCTCATACATAAATAACAACAAAGAAGGAATTTTTTTGAATAATGATAGTATATAACATTTTTATTGTGATCCGGGTGATTTGGAAGACCAATCGCACTAGAATTGGGATCCCAAATTTAGTGGGCATGACCAAGTGTCGTTTATGTGTGATGTCTTGTTATCGACAATTACTGCTGGATTATTCAAAAAAGGCAAACAATGTTAGATAACTTATACACAAAAGAAAAACAATAATACTCAAATTAGGAAGAACCTTCCTATTCACAAACATAACTTCTTTATTCCAAGTATTAAAAACAGACAATTCAATATGATGAGCGCCTTGAAAAAATTACCACCCTTCGATCCAACTAAGCATTGCAAACAGAAAGAGGTGATGGTTGGAGACATTACAGCATGTTTTTGCCTTGAGAAGTTGTGGGATAACATGTACTTGGGTAAGTATGAAGGTCTTCATTTTGCTTCTAAAAGATAGTTTAGTGTAATTAATTATATGTATATATGTATGCAAATGTATAAAATAAAACAAAAAAATATTATTGGATTATGATTAGTTTTTGTTCTCACCGACCGCTAAAAATATTGAATCCTGTCTACCACTCAACTTGAATCACACGGGCAAGTATCATGATTTTGTTCCATAAAAATAGGATTCTAAATACGAAATATTACTTATACTTGTTTACAAATATACAATTTATTAAGGCGAAAATTGTATTCAAGATCAAGTTTCTGCAAATTTCCATTAATTGCAAGAACGTTTAATCTTTAATCAACTTAAAAAAAAAACACTTGCAAATCTTTTTTGACAAAAAAAATTATTAATTCTGAGAGGATAGAATGTTTCACTTGCGCGATAGATGTATAGACCAAATGGTGTATACATAATGATAAAAAAATTTATATCAAGTTATTGAAGTTATGATTTTCAATTTTCGTGAAAAAATAGCACATAGTTTCTAAACAACCGACAAATATCAGTAGTCATACAGAAATAGAATAACGAAGAAGGAATTATTTTGAATAATGTTAGTACATAACATTTCTTTTGCGATCCAGGTGATTTGGAAGACCAATAGCACTAGAACTGTAATTCCAAAGATTAGTAACTATTATGTAAATTGTGGATCAGTTGATTTAAATTTTGATAGGATACCAAAGGCATGACCAAGTGTCATTTATCTGTGATGTCTTGTTATTGACAATTGACAAAATGCAAACGATGTTAGATGACTTCTTCACAAAAAAAAAAGTCAAATTAGGAAGAACCTTCCTAATCGCAAACATATTTTTTTCATTTAAATTTTATGTGATTATCTTGTATGTTTTATGAATACAAATCGATATTATCAATATATAAGATTATAAGTAATACAATAAAAATATATTTCACAATAAAAGGTAAAAAAAAACAACAAAACTAAAACATTTTCTTATTCTTTGTTCTGTTTCACCGATCCCCATTATTTACGTGTTAAACGTTCCTCGATTAATGCTGTTTTTGATAGGAAACTATCAATACTATAATTGTAACATCTGCAGGAAATTTTAGATAAACTACAGGAATGGCTCAAAAAATGAAGAATATTGGTTAAAGAATGAACCCAATAGTAAGACTCAATGGTTAAGATCCGTTCAAATTAACGAAGGCATGAATTTCGAGGATTTTCTGGAAAGAGCACGTTCAGGCTAAGAGGGATCAACTGGAACTAACGTTTAGAAATCTCTACTAGTTATTAGTGGACAATAAACGAAAACATTCAAGGTAATATTAAAACTTATAGTTGGGGTCTCTTCAAATCTTTGAACAGGTTTCAAAGTTCGAAGAAAAGTTTGAAACCTCTTGGTTTATCTATGGTTGAAAATATTACCTTTTAAGACCTTCCATAACTCAGGCAAATTCTAACGTTTTAATTTGTTTCATATTTTTCGAACCTTCCACATTTGTATTGTACCCGTATAATACAAGTAAATGAGGAGTATTCCTTGGAACACTAATACCCTTAAAGCAGCGTTTTCCAAACTGTGAGGTGCGCCTCCCTGGGGAGGCGTGGACTAGTCTAGGGGAAGGCGCGAATATTGGTAGCAGTGAGCAATTTTCCAAATATCTGCTAAAGTATAAATACATTCCTGTGCTCTTATCGTTCTAAAAAGCAGTGTTTTCACATTTCATTAATTTACTCGATTTACTATAATAGATAGAATGAATCCAATATATGCACATGAAAGCTGAATGTTTGTGGAATCCAGCAAGTATAGACACATTCCTGTGCTCTTATCCATATTGCTGTAA